GAGCAGGGGGCGAGCTATTCGTTAAAAAGTCAGCCAGCGGCCACGCGTTACGTCGGGAGGAAAGTGATAACGCCCGCTGGTCATTAAGCTCTCCCTCTCCTCTCTTCCTCCCTCTCGTTTCCTCGTGGATGAGCTTCGCGAGTAAACGGTTTCGGTGCGGGATTCTCAGAGTTAGGAGAGGTGGAAATTGTCATTAACTTTGTGAACACCTGCTCCGCTATTCTTCCCATACTTCTTCAATCTCGCAAGCGCGTGTGAATCGAATTTCGACTATTTGACTCTCCAACTATATATGTGTGTATATATATATATATATATATGTGGGTGTGTGTGTGTGTGTTATCAGCAATTGGGATAATCAAAGTGTTTTACGGGTTGGGTTGATTGCTGGGAAAAGCGTATTACAGGTGGAGTAACAGGTTATTGGTATTTAAAGGTGGCCTCGAGAGGTTCTCTCCTCGAGAGCTATTCGTTACCCGAGCATTTTGCAACGCGGAGCGCGGAGTAGGTGTAATAGGCGGAGCGGTATCGTAATAACAGCGTTGCATAAAATTATTTATGGCCCGGGCGTGCGCGCGCGCTAGGTAAATAGGCGAAACAGCTGCCAACCGACCGGTCTTGTACCGCCACCGTAACACCGTTTCGATTCGAGCATTAACTCGTTGAAATAATTAACCGAACCGTTACGTTTGATCGGCCTTTCGATACCTTTCGATATCTTCATAACCTCGTCCACGACAATTCGATAATAGACATGTTTACTTTCGATGGAAATAATACTTTATAACAACCTGTTTAAAAGGAGTAAGATAATATTCACAAACCTAATCCAATCCTTTAACCTGAACTCTGAAGAGGATATAAAATAAAATTTTATTTTATTTGTTTCATACTCGTGTTCAATTATTATTTTATTCGTTATGACGAAATATCAATATTAGAACAACGCAATATATATATATATATTTAAAAGAGTTAATTAAAGATAATTGTTAATTATAACGTAAATATCGTTGAAAGTTGGTGACTGACGGAAATGCATGTTCTGACAGGCACGGTGAACGCGAACGGCGAGGTGAAACGGCAAAGGACGTCCTACACCAGGTACCAGACGTTGGAGCTCGAGAAGGAGTTCCACTTCAACCGATACCTGACCAGGCGGCGTCGCATCGAGATCGCGCACGCCCTCTGCCTTACGGAGCGGCAGATCAAGATCTGGTTCCAGAATCGGCGGATGAAGTGGAAAAAGGAGCACAAGATGGCGAGCATGAACATTGTACCGTACCACATGTCGCCTTACGG